TAGAAGATATTTATTTATTATCAATTTAGAAATATGGAAAATTTTGATTAATAGTAATGTGTGTTTTAATTATTTGTGTAAAATTATTATGGAAAATTTTGATTAATATTATTATTTAGTAATGTGAGAATTATTCATGTAAAATCATATTGATATTTTTGAGAATTATTCAATTTGTTTAGCAAAGAAGGGATTTTGAATTAATCTTAACATAGTAATGTGTGTTTTTTTTTATAAAATTTATATCACGTGAATCCGATTACTAAAAAATCCGTTGTCTGTTGAAACGCGATTTAAATATAAAATCCGTTGAAACGAGAATTTTTTAATTAATATTACAATTAATAAAATCAAGGGACAAAAACAAAAATCCGTTGAAACGAGAGTTCGACTGTACATATATGATCGGCAGGTCTAAGATAACATATATAGTAACTTGACTATTTTTATCAGGTTTAGTTTGGTAAATATTTATTATATCAAAAGAAAGCTTATCCTTTTGATATGAAAAACATTTAGTCAATTTGATTGTGAGGCAGTTGGCTTTTGAGATTTAGCAAAAGGTGAGGTGCCTGATTTGTCGAGATTGGCTCTTCATTTGCATTGAATTGTGTAAATTCTGCCTCTATATTCAAAAAAAAAAAAAAAAAAAATAGAATTGTCTTTATGTATGTTAAACTTGTTTTTCAATTTAAAATTTTATTATAAAATGATTAATTAATAAAAAAATAAAAATCTATTTATTAAAAACATAAAAAAGTTTTTGAAATATTTCGAAAGAAAAAACAGTCGGAGATTTAAAAATGCGAAAAACTTTATAAAAGAAATCATATTGCAATTCCTTTTCAAAAGAATCTGTTGATAATAATAATGATAACGAGCTGCTTGATACCAATGAAGTAATAACCGTGAAACATTGGCTTCTTTTGAAAAAGGAAAGGATGTTCCAGATGTCTTTGACGAAGAGGTTGATGATTATATTAACAGAATTGAGGATTGAGTAGAATTGAATGGGTATGATTGATGATAATGAAGATATTTCTGATCCTTTGGGATTTATATCACCGTACATTCCGCTAATGACCCACTTGTCAAATGGAGTCTGCATAGTATTTAATGATAGTTTAGATAATTTAGATAGTCAACTGATTTTGTAAATTCATTTGTATGATAATAGCTAAATTTGAATAAAATTTGAATTTTTTAATTAAACAATATGATTGGTTTGCAAATGACCGCATCATTTAGTTACAGATCAAAATTTTACCATTTGGTATCTGATTACCCCTTTATGCCACAATCTGGACCTGTGATATCAACCTTGGTTATCCCTTCCGGTCTTTTCTTGCATCCAAAGTTGGCACTTCTTGGGTTGATTGACAATTACTCACTTCACGTATTTCTCGAGCATGTGGATACCCTAATATGAATATATTAATATTAGAAAATCACAGTCAAAACAAATATGTTAATGCATATAATTCAAAGCACATTTGCGTCACTAGTTCCAGGATGTTGAACGTTAGGTTTTCGAACATGGATTATATTTGGGTAAATAGCAACATTTAGTGCAATTAATTATCTAACTCCAGATAGGTTAAAATGAACCAAAAGAAGGAAGTATGTGAATTTTAAAAAAATCGATTATATGCAAAGGATCAAGAAAACTTTCTTGCATGGTTGCCTACTACATCTATTGGAGAATCATAAAACATATCGCCGTTGGGAATCTTGAAGTAATCAATCAACAGCGTAATAACAAATTTATGCTCGTGTTTGGGCATATCGACAACGAATATGTCACCGTTACCTTTTCGTTGAAACTTGTACTCAGAAGACTCTTGACCTTCAAGGAAATCTTGCATATAAATTTTCACCGGTATCCTCAAGACAACCTGAAAAGGCAAATTGCAGCCCATAAACGTTAACACCGGGCGAATCTTAGCATATCTTGTTGCATCCACTGTCCTCTACTGGAGGCTCTTTTGGTAAATTTGGCAATTGGAATTATTCTTGACCGGATTAATAAATTTGTTCTTGACGAAACATTTGAGAAAGTAAAATGGGGATCTGGTCTCTTTGAATCTCGAGCATAAGATAATCATTTTAAGGTTGTCGTACCATAACATTCCATGCATTATAATTCAGGGTCATCATGTAAATATTTAAGAAGATAATAATAAACGTCGAGTTGCATGGGAGGCAAAAACTCGAAAATTTAGGGCAACTAATAATGGTCAGATTTAAGGCTTGATGATTACTCTATCCTTTGGCTCAATGTGGTAAAAAACTATCGTTATTAATGATAATTTCGTTGTCATTATCGTTATCATTATCATTATCATTATTGCTAAATATGATTTTTCTTTAGTTTTTAAGCTCAACCCAAGCCTTGATTGCATCTATTGTTTCAGAATCAGATTTTGTTGTAAAATTTCCACTACTTTGTATCAGATTTCTTTTTCTTTTTTGAGATTACTTATGGCATCGTTAATCATATCAGATTTAATTATATCATTTCGATTGCACAATTAGGCTATTTCTTTAAAATTTGCTTTCTTGATATTGGAAGCAGGGATGGGCAAAGGATTGGGTTGGCTGTAAAGTGGATTAAAATTATGGCAATAGCAAACAAATATATATATCAACATAAATGGTGTGTTAACACTCCCTAGACAAAAGCTTCAGTCAATAATTGCACATAATGAAAGTTATGCAAAGGGCTCTGTAGAAAGAGTCAATTCACCAGAACGTTATTTGTTGTTCACAAACATATGGAATTTGGATCGGGACATCTCCGAGTACTTATCTAAAATATCAAAAGATAATTCTGTAGAAGGAAAACTTCACAAAATAGAAAAGGGGATAAATGAAATTATCGAGATGCTCGAAAGTCAAGAGAAGTTAATACACAAGATAAGAAATGATCAAATTATACTTGCCGCCCAAACTCAAAAGGTCAAGTTCCAAATCCTCAAATCCTTGAATTTCATGACACATTTAGGTATATACGAATTTGGAATGTGTCGTATAAATTACCAAATTCGTACTAGTTTTATAGTATTTTCACCTAAATAGTTTTTACCTATTTGGATTTGGGATTGGACTATTTTATACTTTGGACGGCAAATCAAATTAGAAAATAAATTAAACTAGAAAGTCAGATTATAATTTTTTAGTTTTATTAATTTCACATTAATAATGTTTTTGAATCATGTAAATCTTTTTTAAAGGATTTATAACTCTTGAATTCGACAAATTCGAATGATCATTGCTTTAATTTCTTGTAATAATCACAAATTATTGCTGGTAAATTTAATAAATTGATAACTTGCGAAATACTGAATTATCTAATTTTATTTATCATGGGTAAAATTCCGACCCATTTGGGGATAATTTATAAAGAATCCATAGAATGGACATGCTCTGCATGATCTACTATATTATGATTATTGATATGTATTTAAATTAAAAGTAATTGTAAACCTGCATAATGACCAAAAAATTATGACCTTATTTTATTGATATATATAAAAACCATTGCTGAAACAACATACAAATATAAAGCATGTCTCACTGTTGGGGAGTTGGATATTTATTCGTATAATAATATGAATTTTATCATGATCAAGCTATTTAGGAAAATGATTAAAAATAAATTGATTTGGAAACATATAATCTCCTCCATTCCCATTTTTTTACGCTGTAGTTTGATCACAGATATTTGTAATTACATTTGTATCAATCTTACAAAGAACAAATTTGTGAGGGAAAGTATTTTCAAACCAAGATGGCCACTGTTCCTTAACAATAGGTCTGAACTTGTCGACTTGCTTATTAGTGAAATCTTGAGAACAATAACGTTATATTGTAAAAGAATATCGAGCGATCCATTAGGAATGAGAAGGCAATTGAGACTAATATTATTAACAATTTGTTTTTCCTAAATACATAGAACAACAGTGAGCGGAATTTCGTTTTCTAGTGTAAAAAGGTACTCTGTAACATTTACGTAGATATAATACATACCTTTAAAAAAAATTGATATGATTAAAAATGATATCTCACGAATCCGGTTTATTTATATGTTTTTTTTTCGCTTGACCTGGAACCTGCTAGAAGAAAAAAAATACATGATTAATAATTACGTTATCCTGACCATTTTCTCAGATCTCTGTCCCATAAAGCAATTCTATTAGAATCACAAGCGCCGAGAGGGAAGTATATTTAGTCATTTATGGGGAAAATTAGCCCTTTTGTCTGACAATTGTTCTTGAAAAATGTAAAATAAGCCAAATCTAAACGATCTCAGAGATGGCGAAAATTTCAACTTCCATAACATATGAAATTTGATATTGTTACTGATAAAGAACAATAAACTCTCTTCCTTCATGACTTTTTTGAGTCTCATTCATAGTTGTTCTTATCGGAAAAACCATATACAATAAGAAAAGACTTTATTAATACGGTGCATCGTGCATATTATCGTCTCACGCTCTAATATGATAAGACAAACATATGAATAATTAAATCAGTAACAAATACAACATGAACGTTATGTATGGTAAACAAGTACACCAAAACCTTGAAGGCACAAGAGTTGATTTTCTGTTGCCTTACATTTTAAGTGGTGTTGACGTTGATAAAAGATTGATATCTGCATTACTATAAAGATAATTGATTCCATGAGTTTTACTGTGTAAAGTCTTCGAGATATGAATATCTAAAAATTACAAACCCTTGAATAATTTCTCAATGTCTTCACAATATCTACATTCACCAGATTCTTTACCATTTTTAAAATCCAACTTCCATTTCAGTCGCGTTCATGTAAATCTTTAGAATACCATAATATTTTGACCCAAGACCAGCCAGAAGCTTTTGACCTTTTGTTTGGTTTCAGTGTTGCTCACGGAACGTGCTTTCTATCTCTCTACTAAGCAAATATTATATTTGATAAATCAAGGGTTCATTATGTTGGGAATAAACTACATACGATCTTATAATAACATGCATTTGGAACCTAATTTTATTATTCATATCGTCAAATGCCTTTGGAATTAAAAGATTTATGAGTGAGTCTCTGTAAACTATCTCCTGTGTATTCGCATCACGAAGTATATTGAAGGGTGATGTAAACAAAAATATGCTAGAGTGAAATATGGGAATTAGTGGAATGTGTTGAATAATATTAAGCAATAATGTGTATGGTATATACCTACAATTTGCCGATAGATATCCTGTACCCATAATATGTCATAATGTTTTTTGAAATTAAACTTGCCCTCAAATGGTATTTCAAAAATAATTTTGTTGATTGTGGCTGATCATCGTCATCAAAACCGATTTCGGCTTCACCTTAACTGCAAAAGTATACTTGTCGATTAAAGGTCTGATACTCTTAACCGGCATATTGTATTCTGTTTCTCTTCAGCTGATGGTTCAATCAAAAAGAACATGTAAGGTTATTAATCTAAAGCTGATAGGATAGCTAACATGAAATATATACTTTTTCTCTCCTTCTTTTTTATCATCATTTAAGAAGACTTTGTTTACTGGATCAGTGAGATTCTTTCCGGATAGGTTGACAATACAATAATCAAAAAGATGATGGTTCACATTTCTAATCTTTACGATGAAGTGTTGAATCTCGGTTGATTCATTCTCGTTCTCATCATGATCATCAAAAAAATCGACATCCTCGTTATTAAATTGAACTTGTGCAGGTTGAAAAACATCATGCGGACGTGGAGAAGAAGTACAGGTTGGGAGGAGTGGTGACGATGCGAGAGATTTCCTCGGCTGGTTGTTTCCTTTCATTCTTTCATAAATTCGCATGTTTGTTAGCATAGAAAATTTTAATAAGTACTTGTAGAAGAATCAGATGCAAGAACAAAAGGCGCAAAAACGAACATTGATGAACATCCACATACCAATTTATCATCAGAAACTGAACTTTCATTTCTTAGCTTTCAGCGTTCTGCTGACTTCGTTGAAGGCGGTCTTTATCAAATCTTTGGTGTTGTGCATTACTGTTCAAATCGTTTTTATCTAATCAGAATATGCACTCAATACAGGTCTGAATTGGAATAGAATTCCAAGAAATGGTAATGTAATGAGCATTATCTAGCTGCAAACTTGAATTGGCAGAAGACGAATGAATCTATGTCATTCCAAAATGTCCGGATATCATGGTACTTTTCGCGGTGATTCTTATATTAGTTGAAGCAAGTATAATAATTAGAACAGTAATAAACAAATAAAACTGGCGATAGCTTAGGGCTGACTACAAGGGATCACGACGGACACACAATGGAAACGCAGACCATAAAATGGACAAAACGCAGATGTCCACCGTAATTGTGTGTCCTGTGATACATGACGAAAACGCAGACCTTCAGAGATCAAAACGCAGGTGACCCTCCTAGTCGCATAACCACGCCTGAAACAAAAGGGAAGTCAATTTTATAATTTTCCAGCAACTGTCCTGCAGACGTCCTGACTTCCTCTGAAAAATCCTTGATTAGCTCCTCAAGATCGCATATAAGTTTACGTGACTCTTTTTGGTATGAGATGGTGAGGTCAGGTTGCTGCTGACGATACTGATAAAAAATCTAAAAAACTATAATCTATCGCTGGTGTTTCACGAAAGTAAGAATTTGTTTTGAACTCTCTGTTTCCGACACGATTATGATAAGTATATTACGAGGTGCAGCTGGTTATTAATATATTCTAAGACATTTGATCTTGATCATATTCATATTTCCATGTTATTGTACAATTTTTTTTTCACTTGAAAAAATTTTTGAAATTCTTAAAATGTCGTACAACATACAGACAGATTATCTGATCGATTACAGGATCAAATTTCTAATATATCCTTCTGATTTTCACCAAGAAGTTACGGTCAAGGAATTTACTGGAGGCAAGTATACGCTTATTTACTTGAAGAGAGTTACGGAATGACTAGGTTATGGGGAAAAATGAGAGTCTCTTATCCCATGCATCGAAAAATTGAGCGAGTTTTGAGGTTTACGGTAATATGATTATAACCAAAGAAGATGGGAAAATGAACAATGATAGTATCAAAAAAGTTGAACGCATTCCCAAAGAGAGGATATCGTTATGTAGTCGGATAATTACTTTTAATCAAATGAAAATCAGAACAAAACATAGCAGGAAAAATTATTAAAATTGTGACAACTATATCTTTATATGGAAAAAGAGCCGGCTAAACTAATACAATAAAAAGTATTGGAGTAGTAAATGTTTAAAGGGAGGAATCACGCCAGTCCCTAAACCTTGAATTGACGGTTCCATCTCACTACTCCATACTATCTATTTATGAACTAATCTGGTCTACAGTATCTGATTTACAACACTTACTATTATAAAAGTTTTTATTGTTGACTCCCAATAATTCCTCCAAGTTCACTGCTACGAAATAACTCCTTCGTCAAAAGTATAATCGATGAGAAGATTCCCAGCGCGTCCGTAGTGAAGTCAAGTTCCATAGTGAGGCGGGGTGTTAAGTTTAGCAAGTCCTTCGGTAAATTGTTGCCTGATGATATTTAATATTAAGACATTAGCATGTAAATCCTTCATTATATTAAAACGTTTTTTTTGATGGTATAAGTCCGAAACATTAATTTTGATGCATCTATGAAGGAAAAAAATAAAATTAACGTATGCGGAAACAAACATATGTGTAATTATAAGTCAAAAAGAAAAGTGATAAATAAGTGTCATTATATTTTCACTATATTTTATTAAAAATATGAAATTATAATTATTTAATATTACACTAAATTAAAAATCATTAATTTTTCTTTAATAATTTATACACTTCATATTCTTCTAATAAAATACTAATATATGAATTATTTCCAAGATTTAAATTATTTTTATAATTGGAAACTGAATAAAAACAATAAGGTTCATTATTAATACTGTTACATAATATCAAATCACCAAAATTTATACATGCTTCATAAAATATTATATTATCTACGGTAACATTAATAATTTGTTTATCATGGAATATTGCCTTTTCAGGATTTTTGACCTTACTTAATATTGAATTACCAAGTTGATTTTCATTAATCTTAAAAATAAAACTTTTGTTTGTTTCAATCTGATAACTTTCATTTGGAGATTTTCCTTTTATATTCCAACAAACAGGATTATAACCACCCACTAATTCACCTGTTTCTTTAAATTTCATCAACACTACAGTTTGTTCAATGTTGTAACATTTCTCCTCAAAAATTGCCCTTGAAAAGCCATCTTGAGATCCACAAAGGACTAATTCAAAATCATATGATGTATTATTTTGATCAATCCAACCAGAAATTAAAGATTTTAATTTTAAATTTAATAATTTTCCAATTCTTGTTCTTGGACCTTTTTGAGGAAGTAGCCTTGGTTGCCAATTATCAATAAAATAATATTCATGAATTTCTTTGTATACTTCTTTATAAAAAGCCTTTTTATATGGGATGACTTTGTTATAAAAATCTCCTTTAGATATTTCGCTGAATCTTATTAATGGAATAATATCTTTTAACATATTTCTCAATTCTTCGAAATCATCTTTACTCCATATTGAAACATTTTTTTCCAATGTTTCTTTCTTTTGACCTATTCCCCATTGAATGACATGATCCCAAATATTAATCTCATCCAATTTTAAATCATCTCTTTCCAATATAGAAACAAGCATTGGTTTTTCAATTTTTTCAATATTACTAGATTTTAAAATTGATTCTGGGTTTTCATAAACTAATTTATTGCAGTGATCTTGAAGCAAGCTGAACGATTGATGTTTTGATGAAATCTTGTAAACATAAATTAAATTTCGATGAATCCATTCATTTTTTTCATTGATTAAATAATTTTGCAAGTCATCAATCAATTCGTCAAATTTTAAGTCATCGCATGCTTCAAGAAGTTCTAAAATTTCATTTGCGTCCAGATTCTTTATATCAATAATTCCATTGTAAATGTAACTTTAAAAAAAACATTTTTAATTTAGGTAAATATTAATTACTTAAATAATTGATCATTTTATTTCATTGATAACCAAATTAACTTACTTTAAAAGAATTTCAAAAATTTTGGGGGAAATATTTTCTTTTTCAAATAAAATATTTTCATTATCAGATTTTTCAGATAAAACCGTTTTAAAATACAAACACCTTGCTTTTAAAATGGTAGAATGAGCTTTAAAAATTTTAACATTGTTTTCTTTTCCAACTTTGATTTCTACATCATAATAATTTGAACTATCCAACAAAATTGTCAAATCACTTAATATCTTGATAAAATATTTTAATGGTAACGCATTGTCATTGTTAATGATAATATTGTTAATGAGTGTAATATTTTCCAAGGACGAGAAACTGTTATTATCAGACATTTTAACAAAAATTTTTTTTTTAAAAATTTAAAATTTATTATTATTATTGTCATTATTATTAATTAATATTAATATAGATGTTTCAT